TTTGGTATATTTCCTAACTGTAATAAATATAATATATAAATAATATTTGATTTTTTGAAAAATATAAATTAAAATTAAATATTTAAATGGTTATTAAAATTTTGATGTAATTAATAAATTTTTTAATATTAATAAAATTAAAATTTTTTAATTTATTTAAATTCAAACTTAATAATTTAACCAAATTTTTATAAATTAAAAAATTATTTATTCATAATTAATATTTTAAAATAAGCTTAAATTTTTTTTTAATTTTGAATATATATTAGAATTTATAATTATTTTATATATTTATAAAAAAAATTAAATTAAATTAAAAAATTTGTATATATTTAATAATATAACTATTTAAGTATAAGGTTATTTTAAGGGAATCACAAATATTATATAATATCATATTGAGGAAAAGGATAATCAATAATATTTTATTAAACATAAATTTCTTAAATAAAAATATATAATTATACAATTAATATACACAATTTTTATTGAAATAAATTCATAATTTTGAAAAAAAAAAGCTAAAAAAAAACAAGTTTTTATTTTATTTAAAAGTTTAATTCTACATTTATTTTATATAAGATAACATATATTACTATATTATTAATTTAATATGGATTATTATGATTATTATGTCTTAATGTAAGTAAAATATTTGTATTTATTCCATTTTTTATTTGCTTTACAAAATAAAATTTTATAATAGAACAATTTGTTTATATACAAAAATATTACAAAAATAATAACTAGAATTTGATTTTTTATAATAAAAGTTATTAATATATTTTGAAGTTAAAATATAACTTTGCATTTTAAGCTAATATACAAAATAAATGCAAATATTAAAAATTAAGAAAAATTATATATCTAAAAATATAATAATAATTGATACTAAAGATAAAATTTTTACTAATTAAACTTTTATTTCTTATATATATAATTTTATAACTTTAGTGATAATAAAAAAAATTATAAATATTTTTGATAGCTTCTAAATTCTTTAATTATAACTATAATAATTTTATGATAGTTTCAAAAATAATATTAATTGTTATATCTTTTATATTTTAATTATAATTTATATATAAAAAAAGAATTTTATAAATTTTAAACTATAAAACTTCATATAACAGATAATACATATCATTTAACTAGGCTTCTTAAAATATTTTACTATTATATGAAAGTTCTAGGATTGTTTTAAAATAAATTTGAATTATGAATTAAATTTTTCTGATCAACTAATATATGTATTTTATTATGATTGGTTAAAATTAAAAGATTTATATAAAAAATCAGTGTTCGAAAATGACCTGGTCATTTGACCATTTAAATGATTTGTCTATTCCTTTATTATAATCATAAATCATTTAGCATTTGTCATTTCGCAAATGATCTAAATAACAAATGATAAATGATCAAGATCATTTAAGATCATTTAAATTATTTGTTATTTAGTCATTTGCTTTTACAAAAAAATTAGCGATACTCTTAAAGAATTACAAATTCTTAGCGAGTTTCGCAATTTTATCTCTTAACGATAAAGAATCATTCCAAAGGATGATAGAAGGATCGTTCCAATAGAATGATAGAAGAATTGTTTTAAAGAAATGATTAAAAGCATCGTTTCTCAAGAATGATAAAAGATTATTCTAAAGGAACAATATAAAAAAATCATTCTATCAGAACGATGAAAAAATTATTCCTTAAGAATAATAAAAGATCATTCTAAAGAAATGATACAAAAAATATTTCAGTAGAATGATAAAGATACTTCTAAAGGAACGATACAAAAAATCATTTCAATAGGATAATAAAGATCATTCTAAAGGAATGATACAAAAAAATCATTCTAATAGAGTGATAAATCATCATTCTATCGGAATGATAAAAAAATATTCCTTAAGAACGATACTACATCATTCTATCAGAATAATAAAAAAAATCATTCCTTAAGAACAATAAAAGGTCATTCTATCGGAATGATAAAAAATCGTTATAATAAAGCGATACTACATCATTTTAAAAGAACAATACAAAAAATTGTTCCAATAGGATGATAAAAATAATTCTAAAGGAATGATACAAAAAAATCATTTCTTAGGAACAATACTACATCATTCTATCATTTTATCGAAATGATACTTTTAATCATTCCTTTAGAATGATTTTTTTATTGTTCTATTGAAATGATACTTTAATCATTCTTTTGAACGTAACTAAAAAATTATTCAATTTTTAGCTTGAATTTAGCACTTGACTTAACTTTACTGGACTTGTCTAACTCATAATTTGAGTCGACTCATTTGGATCTTGAATATAATTTAATATATTATTATATACCATATAAAATATATGCCTAATATGAAACAATTTTTTTTAATATATATAATTAAATATTTTAATAAATTTAACTTATTTACACTATAATAAACAAAATAAATAATAAAAATTTATAAAATTTGCTATATTTAAAAATTATTGAAATGACTGGTCCTTTGATAATTGAAATGACAGGTCATTTGTCATTTGTCATTTGAGTCATTTGCCAATCATAATCATTTGATGAACACTGTAAAAAATGGTCATTCATATCTTATAAAATTGTATTAAATAATATTTGTAATTTTTTAATAATAAAAAATAGTTTATTTTAATAAATTCATAATTAATATATATTTAGTTTGCAATAATATTTTAAATAAAATTATTTTCTAATATTTATTTAATAAACTCTAATTATTAATTTATATTAATAATACTGTTTAAATTTAATTTTAACATATGGGAATGTTTTCAGTAAAATCAAGTCATGAAGCATAGTAAATCATATGACCTGTAATGTGATTTTACTGGAAACGCTCCTATATAGCTTAACATTTTAAAATTATTTCAAGATATTTAAAATGATTTTTTTAAATTTAAAACTTGATTATACTTAGTTGAGTTTAAAAATACCTATTAAAGTTTAGATAAAATTATTTATTATAAATAAATAAATTAATCTTAAATATTTTAAAATTCAAATAGTTTAAAAGAAATTTTATAAACTATCTTAAATAAGTATTGTATATTGCAGGTTATAATATCTTCCTATATATTGTATTCCTTTTTTTTACTTAAAAAAATTAAATTTTCTATTATTCTTATTATTTAGAAATCTTTTTAACTAGAAATTGTATATTAAACAATTTTCTGATAATTATATATGTTTTTAACACAACACATTCCATTTATAATAAAAATTCAAGTTATAAACTTAATAGTATAAGATTAATCATTCAAAATTTACAAGATATCTGAAATATTATGACCATAATATACAGTAATTTTATTTTGTATAATTCTAAATTTATTTTTAAATAATTTGAAATATTCCTTATAAAAATAAAATTAATTTATCTTAATTTTACTTATATTTGAATTATTTATATAAATATTAAGTATAATTTTTAATTCATTTTATTACCGTATATTGCGAGCTATAGTATCCCTCCAATGTATTATATTTTCCCCTTTTTTTATCCAAAAAAAATTACATTTTCTATTATTATTATTATTTAGAAATTCAATTTTAACTAGAAATTATGCATTAAACAATTTTCTGTTAGTTATACAAGTTTTTAACACATTCTATTTCTGTATTTATAAAAGTTATAGACTTGGTAATACAAGGTCAATCATCTGAAATTTACAAGATATTTGGGATACTATAGTCTACAATATACAGTAATTAAATAAATAATTTATTTTTTTTTTTTGAATCATTTTAGAATATATAATTTATAATTTAAATTTATTAAAAAATTTTTTTTATATTTTTTTGCAAATATTTAAAATTTTAATTATTAATTGATTATTTTTATATTTTTTAATAAATAATTATAACAAAAATATTTGTTAACTTGATGTAGCGAACTCTTGATATAGCGAATTTTTAAATCAAATATATTAAAATTACCTTACTATAGTGAACTAACCAATTAAATTCTTTAAAAAATTCGCTATAAGCTTATAACGAAGTAGATATCCAGATCCTAGAATTCGTTATATCAAGAGTTCACTGTATTATATATATTATATCTATAACTTAATTTATTATTAAAAATCAAAAAATTATATTTATATATAAAAGTAAATAATAGTTAAAATTAGTAAAATTAGTTAATTTTAATTGGTTAAAATAAAGTCTTTTTAATTAATTATTAAAGGAATTTGAATTTTATGCAGAGTGTATAAAATGCCTCCCATGCGTAGTAATTTAATTGTTACATGTGATATCATAAAATTAATCAACGTGATCATTAGATTTAAGCTTTTTAAGCTTTTTACGCTATCTCTTCCTTTCTCATGATCCTTTTTTCTCTTTTTCTCATATTCGCATTGTAAAAAGGTTTTTTTCTTTACTCCTTCCTCTTTCACATATTATATTACTAAAAATGAGTGACTCAGATTCTATGTCCAGTGATGATTCTGATAATGAATTCTTTCCTGAAGAATTTCTAAATAATATTCCAAATGATAGTGACGAAGATTGTTTTTTTGAAGCTAGTGATTCAAGCATCTCAACTTAAACATTAGAAGAAGGTCAGTCCTTTCTTACCTGAAAATTAGCATTTAGTCATATTAAACAATGGTCCCATCAACAAGGATTTTTCATTTGGAAAGGAAGGTCAGAAAAGCTACAAAATAAACGTAGGAAACAAATGATATTGTGTAAATATAAGGGTTCATATACTAACAAATCAAAGAAAAATAAGTCCAAACCTTCAAAAACTTGCAGAACTAATTGTAAATAGCATGTCAACCTATCACAACCTGTTAAAAATAACACAAACAAGCTTATTTATGTTACTATACTACTAAATGAACATTTCGAACATACTTTAGATCCTTTTATGTGTTCTTTTATGATGAATAAGGCTTTTACAAAGCCTATGTTAGATGACATTGAATGGATGTATATACATGGTCATTTAAATCCATTATTTATTAAATGAATGTTGAAAGCTAAATACAACAAAAAGGTTTACAATCAAGATCTTTATAAAGTTATTTATAAGTATAATTGTGATAACTCTCAATTAGGTAATGATGTATCCTGGCTATTTGTACATCTTGAAAAGGCTAAGGAAAAAGATTTTCGTTGGGTAGTTTATAAAGACT